TCTTTTTATGTTGATTAAGGAAAACTAAATATTCAAGCTATTGCTCACCTTAGCCCCCACTTCTTGCATTAGATTCCACCAAAGCAATGATTGCTTCCACTTCTTCTAATATGGGGGAAGTGGTAGGTCACTCAGGTCGGATAGAGGTTCCTTCCGCCATTGATACGTCTCTTCATGGCTGGTGGCTAAGGCTCGGGCTCAAGTCTGCTCGAGCTAACCAGAGTTTCATGGCTCACTTCATCTCTAGAAAGAATATTGGCGAAGTAAGGAGCAACTGATCGACATGGCAAATGTTTTTTCTTGTCGTTCTACCAAGCCTCCCCTTCGTGTCTGCTCTACTTTGTCAAGCTCGTCAACCTCTCTATCTCTTGGTATTGTGTGTTTGAGGGACCTACAATCGGTAGGGCACTATTAGCGGGCACCATAGCAATTTTTCTGTCAATATGGATGAGCTCGCAAGTGACAATCCTTTGAAAAATAATAGAAGAATCAAACATAGTGTAAACCATTTCCACACCATCTAGGTATTCTCTAGCATGGATCACCAGTGGCTTTCGCCGGCTTGCCACTTTAGCAGTTTCAGAGTAGGCAGGTTTAGCATGGGCCTTCTTCTTCAAGGTTTGTGTGGAAACTGTCACTTAATGCTTGGCCTCTTGAACATCAGAGGTTTTCTAATCCTCCTCTGTCATCCACATCTGAAGATGTTCAACTGCAAAAATCAATTGACAATGAACAGATCAAGGTATTCGTGGACCAAAAGGTGACACCTTTCAACCTCCTTCACCTCCACTAATACAAGATCTAACACTTTCTACTATGACTTGCCGAGGTTACCGCCAGAAAAAAACAAGTTGAATGTACTATTCTCAAGGAGAAGAGCCTAGGAGAAAGCACAATTTTTATTCCTTTGCTATGTTCTTTAGTCATACAAATTGGAATTTTTTTAAAGAGGCAAATTGTACATTGTCATCTAGACCAACTCAAAAGGCGAATAGGTAGTTAGGTGAGTAGCTCAATCCACTAGAGGATTCCTGACCAATGACAGAAGATGACAATTGTAGCTATCAAATTAGGTGGTATTTGAGCTGAGATAACTCTATAGTGATGGCAAATGGCCCTTAGCTCCCGGCAGAAGAATAGTCTCAAATCAAAATAAAAATAATCTTTGTAAAACATGAGGTTGATGGTGAATAGAGTGGTCAGTCAATCATTTTTGCCTAAGACACAAAGCTTCACTGTATGATCGAAGAGAATAGTTTTCCTTAACCGATCGACTTCTTTCTAAGTTATTATCAATCACTCGGTTGAGACAATCCCGTAGGCCTTAGGTAAATAATTTGGAGTCATCATGTTGTGCCTAAAATGAGAAAGGGAAGGGAGAGAAGAAAATAAGGAGAAAAGGATAGAGTAAAAGCGTAGCACCATCAAACCCAAAAGAAATAGCATGATTATGGCATAGGGGTAAAAACGTAACAACATAGTAATTTTGCAAAAATGCTGACAGAAAGATCACATAAACACAAGAGTCAAAACAAAAAAAAATATTTTATCCTAAAAATAGATATTACAAATTCAAAGGAGCTCATGAGCTAGGCCGAGAGAAAATATTTTATACGGGGGACGTCCTTCTCTTTGACCAGGACATACCCCAACCAAAGCTGTTGCTTATACAAAACCTCATCCCAAACTTAAACTAGCTCACCCAATCTATCTCAATTTGAGCCCAGAGTATGAAGGATCTCTCCCAAATGTCTGACAATTTCTAGCAAAGAGCATTCATCTCGCCCTCCATCGTCTTCACCTTCTCTAAATGAGAAAGTAGCTCGCATATCTCTTCGCCTCAATGAATTCCGACTGACCGAGCGAAGGAGTTCTCAATCTCATTGAGGTGGGAGCCAACAACTTAAGGGATATCTGAGATCCAATAGCTGCTTTATCGTGAGAGGACTATTTTGGCGGTCAATCTCACCATCCTCCCACGAGGGTCGGTTGCCACCGACTAATGCCTTTGTCATAGCAGCTAGCTCCGTGGTTGGGTTCTCACCAATGTCTCTAGAGGCTAGTCATTGCCAAGGCTATATGGACCAAGTTAGTTGCATTAAGAGACAACATTAAGAAGAGGAAGTAAGAAAAACAAAAATCAATTAAGCTAAACCAAGGCTTCTTGGGCACTCATTGGTCGAAGAGCCCTGTGCTGGAACAAAGGGTTGAGTCGACAAATAGATGGTTAGACCGTTCGCTTGAACTTTTCTCTACCGAGAGCCGAGGAACACATCAGACGAACCAACTTGATCTACAAACATGACCTATTTTTTCTTCTGAATGATAGTTTTTTTCTTCTTTTAATCTTTCAATGGGTACCGCTCTTTAGATCTCTCAAGGCAACATGAAGCAGATCCTTATTGAGGACACTGGCCGGGGGATTTGACACATTTTTCATGTTCGCGCTAAAAAACTAACCAATTCAAATGGGAAGGGATGCAAAGCAAATATTGAACGTAAAGAGTCACGTCATGTATTAATTATAAGGATCATAGGCGTGAAAATCAAGCAGGTTCAATTATTAAATCATTGATTAAAAAAAGATGTGATCTATATTTCAAGAAGTAAGATAATTGTGGAACTAAAATATGTACATAAATAATTTGTTAGCACTGATCCTGAAAAAATCCAATGATCCGATGAAAACAGAAAGACATAGCAAGGTCACTAATAGAATACCACAATACTCACTTATTTGAACGAGTTAACCTATCCGAGTTGAGCAAACGAGGCCAAAGCCGACCGAATAACAACACATACGAAAGATGACCAGCGGACACCAAAAAGAGTCACTGAGTCATAGAAGAGAAAAAAGATTATTTGGCCAACTATCATAAGAATATCTTTCCAAGGGAAGATTTGGTTCCTTAGTATCTTCAATCATCCCAGGAATGTTCAGAGGCTCCCTATCATAGGTTAAGAATCAACAATCTGACCACAATCAACCAGTCAACCCATATCAACCAAGCACATTCGATCGAGCAAATTTCAGTCTATGAAGATGATCTTACTGATCCAAACTCAATTAAGGCTCAGTTGATCAAGCCAGAGAACAGCTGAGCAATAAGCTTATATTTGTAATATATCAAGGTTTAGAAAATTGGACAGGACCTGTTTCAACGTGAACTGGTAGATGGTTCGGTTCGAAGCGCATAATGAATTATTTTTATCATCGAACTGCAGGATATGGAGTAGTTGACATATAAGTTTAAATGAAAATAGAAATGTTTACGAGATAGGGCTAGTTTTTTTCTTTATTTTGAAAATATTAATTTTTTTTTGGGAATTGGGTGGGCTGCTCTTATGAAAGAGAGCTTGATGGCTCCATTATAGGAAAAAATTGCGCCAAAGATTCCAAAAAACCAACCCAACAATTGTATTACAGTGGGGCCCACTTGCCACGTGGCAAGTGCCTATTAGATTTCGGATGTAAATTCACGGTTGATGTCTTGATGCAATAATCGCTCCTATTATAGGTGTACCCAATAATTTCAAAACTTAAAACTATGATTGTATTTTTTTTTTTTTATAGTTACATTATTATATTTTTATTGCATTATTTTTGTCATATTTAATTAATTTTTATATTTATTATGTTATCCCACCCGACCCTGGCCAAACCAATGAACTTTGTGCATTTTTTTTCTTCCAGTTTGACATCCAATTCTATTTTCACAACCTTGTAAAATATCAAAAATACTCTGTATAACCCTCTTTAAAGCTAAGACAAAAGATATAATACTATTTATATTGTACTCTCTCATCTATAAATAGGGAAAACATTTTATGAATATAACACGATATACAAGACATTACTGTTCATTAATTTTGACTTCTCTCTCTCCCTCTCCTAACTTGTGATATATTTCTTGGGATATGATTCACGAACAAATTAAGATTCATCATGTTCTTAAGCACGTACAATTGATGATTTTTTGAGTAATGATTAAATAAAGAGGAAAGAATTTAATCCAACTCAATCCCTACATTAGTCTCCATGCCCACTTCTCCCTTAGTAACAAGAAAATCACTCACATATCAAATATTACATAAAAAGCTAGTAAACATTAGTCAATTATTAATTATCTTGCCACACACAACCAACTGATTTTGATAATAGTTATTGAACTTTTCTTTCGTGGCTTAGATTGGGGCAACAATGCAGTGGAAGCACCGCGCTTCCACATATTTGGCAAAATTATATTTTATCTGTGCTTTTTGCAATCTGACCTGACTTAATGCAACTAGACTTTTTTAAAATAAAATAAAGTTATAATAATCACCATAACCTTTAGAACAATAATTTTTTTTTCTACAATAGTGTTTCAAACAGATCAGTAACTTTTCAAAATTTTAAACTTGATAATCAAAGTGGCGCTGATGAAGACAGCGTGAGCCTATCCACAGAGATTTATCCACCAAATTGATTCCAACGTATTTTCTGTAGCCAAATTAGTGGCTGCAGCAAAGCTAAAGATCCATGAAAACGACAACCACTGCAACATTTCAAAAGACTTTGTTTGAATTATTATTTTTTTCGGAAGGGCTTATCCGAATGAGATGAAATAAAAAGCAAATTCCATCGTGAGTTAATTAAAAGCCAAAATGAGTCATTGAGTTGAGCTTCTGAGCGTTTTTTTAATGCAATTTCACTCCAATTCCCATCCTTGAAACTTACAAACAAGTCACAATAGTTAATCACCACATAAATTAAGAAATTACAACATACCACAACAGTTAGTGACCACATAACATTAAACAATAGATAACAGTACATCCAGAGGTTTTTTAGACCATCCTGAGCTTCATAATGGAGGAATAAAGAGAGTGTGCGGCAGATGAAAAGGAAAAAAAATTAGAGAAAAGAGATGCTTCCTCCCAAGTTAGGTGGGCCATAAGAGATCAAAGCATTGACAGCTCAAGCTTAGCAGACCAAAATGAAAAAGAGCGACGCAGATGAAAAGGAAAAAAAATTAGAGAAAAGAGATTTTTCCTCCCAATTCAGGTGGGCCATAAGAGATCAAAGCGCTGACAGCTCAAGCTTAGCAGACCAAAATGAAAAAAAGGGACTTTTTTTTTTTCTTCTTCTTCTTCTTCTTTTCTCCTTCGTCCACCAAATCCAGGCTTCAAAAGTACCAAATTTACATCATTGGCAGTGACCCACCAGCAGCCACAATCTGTTGCTCCAGCTACAGTAAGTCATAGAGAGCATAATGTGATCCAAATGAGTGCACTTTCATGGAGAAGGACAAAAAGCTTCAGGAAAGAAAAGGTGGTTAATTACCCCGAATAGAGCTTCCAGCTTGCTCTTTACAAGAGAGTACTCCTGCTTCACTTGCTGCAAGCATCCGAAACAGCTGCGGAAAGTGATTTGGTTAATAACGGTTGTTTGGGGCTTTTAATCAAACAGAAACAGGGCATGCGTTTCGATTCCATTATTTTATAACTCACCCTTCCAGGTTCCCTTCCTCACAGCAGTTTCTGAAGTATATGCACGCGTTCTTCACTCTCTGTGCTCCTATGCTGTTCCAGAACAGGGTAACAGAAACTCAGAGTTTCGGATAAAAATACACGCACACATGAAGCTTCCGATTTAGGGTTCGAACAACCCAACCACTAGGTGATATAGGTTGAAGAAGGAGCAACTACGGGTTCAAGAATTAGAGCTACCTTGCGCTGCTCCCTTTTAACTGGTGAACATGAGCGTCGACCTTCTTGAAGTCCACCGCCTGCTGGCTCCTTCGGAAGAATAGATGAAAGATAAAAGAAATTGACACAGAAAACAAATCCAAGATGCGATCAGTTGCAGAGCAGAATAGATAAACCGCAGAGAATTTCGAGAACCAATCCACTCACAAAACATTGCAGAGATCATTCAGAAGCCTCTCCGAGTCCTCGAAGAACAGGGTTACAACCTCAACCACAAAATCCGGGTTGCTCTCGTCCTGCAGCTGCTGTAGCTGCGTGAATTGCGCGTCCAGGAAATCCTTCAAAGTAAAGAACATCAGCACAGAAATGAAAAGAGATGAACTCAGAGAGTCAGAGAAAGAGAGACCTCGCGGAAAAGGGAGGAGATGAGATCAATCCACTGGCGCTGAAGCTGACGAACGTCCATCTCCCCTCTCCCTGCTATTCGCTCACAAAGCTCTCTCTTCTTCTGATCTGGAGAAAAAAACCTGTAGATGATTTGAGGAGTTTTGTCTTCTTCTCTGTGCACTCGATGGGTCGATTTCCTGTAAAGGACCAGAAGACAAACCCTACTAAGTACTAATAGTTTCCCGCTGTCCATTTATAACCATTTGAAATCAAGTATTAGTCTGCAATGTCATTGTCATACTAATTAATTGTTATTATTTTATCTTTTTATATAAATTAAGTTCAGTTCAGTGCATTTGAACGATGGGTTTATGAAGCTTTAAGCTGAATTAAGCTATTTGGTTGCTTTTAAAAAAGTATATTTACATAAATACCACCCTACTCTTACGTATTTACATATCTAATATATGAAACATTTCACATCACATGAAAATGCCACTGTTTCGCAATAAGTAAAGTTTAGTTGTTAGATATGTAAATACATAAGAATTGAGTGGTATGCATGCAAATTTTCCTTTAAAAAAGCTGCTTATCAAGGTATTTGGCGTTTCTGTATGACTTTGGAATAACTCTTCAGCTCAAATCAGTTATGAAATTATAAAAAAAATCTTTAATTGTTATGAAGTGATATTATGGAAAAGTATTTTAGGGGGTTTATTTAATGATTTGTTCTATTTTTCTGAAAGGTATGGATAAATATGCTTATTTGGTCCTTCGGGGTTTAGTGGATAAGTGGATGAATTGGTTGTCTTCATTCTACTTGTGTGGTATTTCCTTTGGGTTAACGTGACATGATTACATCAATGAGTAGCTTTGGCATGATTGGTTGACTTCAATTACTGGTTTTTAATGCAAAAGATAAATTTTGCTTTGATGTTTTTGATTCTTGAGTGGGTTGGACTCACTATTAAATAATTTCAAATTTTGAATGGGTTGAAATCTTCTTTTAGAAAGTTCAGTTTTTAGAAGAGTTGAAAGTTTCCTTAAATGACTTCATATGAGATGAATTGAGGCTTTATGAAGACTTCAAGCTTATGATATAGGTAGGATAATACTATGATTTGATTATCCAAGTATAATTAATGACTATTTTACTTTAGTGTCACAAAAATATGATTTTTATAAAATTAAAAAAATGCGAAAATTAATTTATATATTTAATATACCATCAAAAAATCTATCCAATAAAGCACAAATCTTAAAGTCATTCTCTAAGTAAAAATTTTCATAAAATTCAGGACCATTTGTCTGCCAATTTTAGCAAACTTGTACATCTAAATGATTTAATATAAGAACAATAAAGGTAAGTTGAATTAAGTATCAGTGAGCCCAACTCAAGCACTTATAGGAAACTTCAAAGTATTAATTGAAGGGCTAAATGGTATCCAAAATTGACATGCATATAATTGAATATAGTAATTTGATAAGAGAAATCCAAAGAGCCTAGGATCATTCATTGAATTCTAAGATTATTAGGACACTTATATGGTGAAGAAATAATCTATGATCAAAATAAAAACATGAACATTCAGATAAAATAGTTTTGGGATGTTGGTTGCATTTATCAAAATGCCCCACTTGAAATAAAATAATTAATATCTCATTTCCAAAATGAAAGGGGAGAAAACTAGGAATTAAATCCACGCACTATGAAGAAAAATTAAAGTTAACGACAATTAGTAATAACCGTAGACCAACATTAGTGATTATTGTTACCTAACACTATCCTGCAACTTTTTTATCTCATTATCATCTCTAGGTTGCTATTATTTGATATAATGACTACTAATATTATTTTTTTCAATTATTATTGTAGTAACAGAAGGACAGACAAGTGTTCATAATCATTTTCTCTAGTTGGTGATATTTACTGTAAATGTGATTTTTAGTTTTGTGCTTTATTCCACTTCTATGAAAATTTTACACTTTTAAAAGATATTTATGTTATCTTTCGCAAGATACAAGTCAAAATATTAATATAGGGTACAATTTGACGAGGATGTGGCTAAATCAATTGATATATCGCTCGAATGCCAAAACCCAGCTCTTAGAGGCCATTACCTTGTCATTAAAGGGCTTCTCTAATCGGAATGGCTCATCCTTAGCTACTTGAGACACCATTACCCCCTTTGAAATAAGGTGGCTATAAACTCAAGAATACTATGAGTATTTATCTCTATCCTCTATCTGAAAGGGGATATTCTATTATAAGCATCACCTATTAATTGGACCACCAAGTTAACAAATTGAGTTGTAGAATCTGACATTATTGCTACCATTGTGCTATATATCACCCCAACCTAATTGAAACTTTCTCCATCTATCACATCCCAATCTTAAGGATTCATAGTTTCTTATTATTTATTCCCAACATGCACATGCAATGACATAATATAATACACATAGAAGCTATTAGAAAAGAAAAAAATTTTAAATTATCTAGAAAACACTATCCACTCATCTACTAATCATTCTTATGACTCTAAAAATATTTATTTCAAATCTATTGCTCTAATACTACCTAAATAACTGTCACAACCCAACCTTATACAACCCACTATATTGAAGTAAATAATCTCATTTCAAGGTAGTGACTATAAAATAATTACTCAAAATGTTTTTGAGAAGAATTTATTTATTTAGGCTCTGTTTGGGGCCACTTTTTTCCCACGACGTGGCCCTAAATTGTGACATTCGGTCGTTTAGATTCCAACTTCACGGCGTCACATCGCTAAAGTTGGTGGAAAGCGGGTCGCGAGATCGAGCCTGTGGCCCCGCGTTCGCCACACAAATATTACCATAGGCCCTGCGATCCTATTCTTACGCGAACGCTTCCCGCCTAGTGTTCCCGAGCCTTCTCCTACACCTTCTTCTTCCTTGACGAGCCAAGCAACCTTCGACTTCTTCTTCCTAGAAGAGCCAGGTAACCTCGCTAAAATGTTCATGTCGCGAGCAGAACGCAAACTTTTGTTTTCTCTCTCTTTCGAAATCCGCCATGGCTTCGAGCCCGGAGGCTGATCTGCATAGTTTAAACATAAGGATTACCTCTCCTCAGATTTTGTTCGAGTGCCATCCAAGAAGCTCAAACTGCACTCTTCCTTTTTTCTGCCACCCGTTAGCCCTTGAACCTAGTTTTGGGGAAAATGGCCTTAGTCCTTTTTACTTTAAATTATTTTATCCCATGCTCAATAGTTCATTCTCACACTCTAACTTGCCACTTCAAACGCCATTCTTATGCTTAGATTGTCCACCATCAAAGGGCTAAAATTTAATTTTGCATGTGAGACTACACAGATAGCTAAGGAGCAAAGAGAGGACACTTCCACTATCATTTGGCACCTTGGGGTTGATATAACTTTTCTTTTTTGTACCTGGGTAATCTTTTATCTGTTATTTTCTTATTTTCTTTATATTAGTAAAATCAAAATCAAGTTGGAACTTTATGTT